CCATCACGAAGCCTAGATTTCCTAGCTTCTCAATGAGCCCGATCATCTTAAGAACATGACTGCTCACAGACATGTTCTCAGACATCCTGCATGAGAACAATTCTCTAGAGGCCTCATACCTCTCATGCCTGCCTTTAATGTCATACAACTCCTTGAGATGTAAGACAATAGAGGGAGCATCCATATGCTCATGCTGCCTTTGCAGTTCAGGCGACATGGATGCCAACATGATGCAGACAGCCAACACATTGTCATCCATGTGCTGTTTGTGGGCCTCGAAATCAAATTCCGCGAACCCATCTTCCCCTTCCTTAGGAGCTACGGGTAATGCAGCATCTAGGACATAAGCAATCTTTTCGGCCCTAAGAACAATTCTCATGGTCCGATACCAGTCCATAAAGTTTGAACCGGTCAGTTTGTTCGTATCGAGTATTGAGCGCAGTGACAGTGGATTAGTCATACTAAAACTGAAAAAGATGTAAAGATGATTTAATTAATATATTTAGACATGTTGTATAAACAAATCATTAAAGACTTTAAATAATTTGCCCCTCCCACTATTTTATCTAAGTCAATGACCCTTACCATTTGACTTAGGGTTAATCTACTTTTAGATTTTACCTTAGTGAGATTAAGAGTGCGATTATCTATTTTAACCCCCGTCTGAGACCGCAAGATTAATTTAAATAATGGGTTGATCCTCATCAACAGTATCTCATACCCTCTCTTAACATTAGGTTGACAACTCTTTGTCACTTAGTGGTGCATCTCATGCATCCAACCTAGCATTATTACCCTAAGCACATAAGCCCGGCTGAGCCTGCAACTTATGCCTTAGTTAAGCATTAACCAGCACCCTAAGTGTCTAACACTTCTAATACTACTCTTACTCAACGAAACAGTGGGTCCCAACTGAGTTGTGGAGCACCACTATGTAGAGGAGGTTCGGGTAATATTGGTGGTGGGAGGTAATCATATGCTTAATAATTTATTCCTTTTAAGGGTTCCTTTTATTTAGGGGTTTATTAGGTCTCATCAAACGCATTTATATTATTATCATGCTAGTCGTATCCTATGTCAAACATCTATCGGATTACACTAGTCGTGATTGGACGTGCATAATAATACATACAAGCGCGCTTTGTCCAATTCATGCATACTAGTCGTTTAAAACATAAAAGCATACATGCTAATAAAACAGTTTTATTTGAGACGGTCATGGTGCTCGTGCATTCGTCCTTCCGCTTCTCAAGCAATGGCTCCTTGTCGTCTAAACGCCACTAGCCTATTTCTCTAATTACATATAATTGAAGAAACTCCAAAACATCTTTGGAGGGACAAATACAAAATTTAAAATTCAAAATTACATTTTAATTCAAATCGAACAAAATTACACCTTTAATTTAAAATATAAAATTTGAAATTTAAACTCGGGCACCATGGCCATCCCCTTCCAATTTGTACCTGAAAATACAAATAACTTGCAAGCACATAATATCACATATTATATAACATGTTCATCCATACGTCAGATCATTTTAACATTTAAAATATCAACACAAGAATCATGATTCAAATTTTCTTAATGGCCGAATTATATAACAATTAATATAATTTAAATTTTGATGACTCTTTCTCAAAGAACACAAAATTAAACCACACATGCAGACACCACACATGGTATGGGCGAATCACATATCACATATATGATTAAATTTTTTAACAAAATTTCATGTCTTTCTCATGGAACAATTCACAGCGAAAATTAAGAAAACAATCAAGGTACTCATAGTACCCCTCACGGCCGATTTTATCCCTTTCAAAAAAGTTTTTCTTTTAAAACTTTCACAAAGAAAAGAAACAAAACTATGATCACATACAGACATATGAACATAGCAATCACATTAACATGTTCATAAAATAAAAACTTTAACGATTTAAAGCATAGTATTTCGAAATCCATATGCTATGATTCAAGTTTTAATTCTTTAAAGAATTTTGACCGTAAAGACAAGTTTTTACAAACAAGGTACCATCACCCGCCGATGGTAAAGCAACTGGGCTCTGATACTACTTGAAAGAAACTGACCTTGAAGGTCGAGGCATGTGAGAGGGAAAAACAAAATTTTTCGAGCGGAATAACACATACCATATCAAGAAACATGCTTTAGGGCATGGATGTTACCTTGTTTGCTTTCCAAAACTTGAGGACGATCAAGATGAGGCTTGAAGATGCAAGCCCTCTAATGTTGATCCACACCACCCTTTGTCAAGACGGAAGAACTCTTCTTCAAGGCCACCAACGAAAACACCAATGGAGGTAAGCTATGCGCCCAATGTGTGAAGGAGGAGGCTAGGTCAAGGTGTTTAGAAGAGTGAATATTCAGCAAGAACAGACACAAAACTGGCGCATGGTTTTACTTTGAAAAGGCTAGGTTATTTTAAAACTCTCTTAAGAAAAACCTAACAAAAGGAACCCACAAGGAGATGAGAGAATAATCATCATTAAAATCAGATTTTCTTCACTTAAATAAAGCCCTATGTAGCGCACACTAGGGGGGATGAGGAGAGTTGTTGCAAAATTCAAATCTTGTCAACAACCTCCTCTCACATCCTCATGATATCAAGTGAATATCTCAACAAGAATCTGACTCAACAACCATCATATGGCCAGCCATATGGTGCGCCCCACTTGGCCTCATAACAGTCCAGATACGTTGAGCAGATGCATTCAAACTTGAACCAACTGTCTCACTTATTCTCTCAACAAACCAAATCTGACCGAAGCTCATTTAGTTGATCCTATGACCATCATCAGATGCCAAAATCAGTGCCCCATATCCTCACTAGAAGATTCTCAAAGATCTCCTCTTGATATTTGGGGTTTGTTCCAACAAGATCTTATCTTATCCTTTTGTTATGAAACAACTTTTCATAGCCAATTCAAATTCGAATTCAAACATTTGAATTCAAACGTTCAAATATTTAAATTTTAAATTCAAATTCAAATTCCAAATTCAAATTCAAATTTCAAATTCAAAATTCAAATTCAAAATTTAAAATTTCAAATTTCAAATTTCAAATTCAAAATTCAAAATTCGAATTTCAAATTCAAAATTCAAAATTCGAATTTCAAATTTCAAATTCAAAATTTAAAATTTAAACATTTGATAATTAATTTAACTAATTAAATTAATTAGTAATGTCTTGAACCATCCAAGCCCATTAACTAACCATGCGCCCTTTTTTCCCTTTTGGTGGGCTTCCAAACTTCTTCTTGGGCTAACAACCATTATTAGGCCCAATACCTTTAATGCTATATTGTCATGACAATAAGGTGTTAGTGTGTGACCCATTAGGCCCAACATAGCCACTGACATAAATGGGCTTGGGCCCAATAAGCCCACAACTCATCTAATGACAACACAGAGCACTAGCAATGCTTTGTTGCCCCAGAGCTAGTTAGGTTAATGACATAATCATCATATTATACATATTTGGTTGCCGTATGTATTTCCTTTCGTCTCGGTTACCTTCCCATAAAACCTAGGGTAAGGAAACGTATCAACCCTTGCGGTTTCGGGTAAGCTTTATTCGAAATAGGGAATCTTCAATTTACTGACTCTAAAGACAGATCATTTCATTGTCTCTTTTACTATGCATAGATTCCCGAGTCACTGTAAATATCATCCCAATTTCTCCGGTTTACAGATAACCTAATCTCTCACAGAGATTTGACGAATTCCTTCAGCTTATCACCCTGGCCCTGTGCTCTTTCAAGACAAGCCCAACAGTATACCTATGAGTCTCCATGTTTCAGGCAGACGAGGTATCCAGTCAAAGCATGCTTTCTAGAACACAGTCTATGCAATAACTTATGGTCTAAGGAAAGACATACCCAAATATAAAGAGACTACTCTAATGATACTCTCTGTGAGATTTCCTCATAGAGTCTCTTTGTGGGTCTGTTCAGTGCGAGCTATGCCCTTATAGGTCCACCCACGACTTTAGCTAAGACATCTCCATATCTGTAGCTCATGAGGTCTTTACCTTGCATCCGAATACAAGTAGATAAGTTGTGCTAGTCTTACCCGAGATCACTGATCCCCATTCTCAGTGTCTCTAGACTAGGAACATAAAATTAGGAATAAACATCCAGTATCCTTGAATCCTCATGATCGTGATCTCATCACAGATACTCAAGAGATACCTATTTTATTCCAAGGGGTTTATCTAGTTACTCATATAATATTAACAGTAATATCAAGACAAAATATGAAACAGGATAAAGTATGCTTTTATTCATTTGCGATAATACAAAGGTCCTCTTATGTCCTAATCTAATCAAAAGATTGTCTCTGGGGCATCCATATACTAACATACTTACTATCTATATTACTTGTGCGATCGGTATACTTGCCGGAGAGCATCAAGTTTTTGGTGCCGTTGCCGGGGATTAGCGTTTCTTATATTAATTAATTTTGATTTTTAAGATTGGATTTGATTTTTATTTTATTTTTTTTGATATTTGAACAGTGCTACTAATCTCTTTTCTGAGTTGTATGCGAGGTAAAAAGCCAGAATTTCCACTTGATTTGGAGATTACAAAGACTGAAAAGAGATACAGAAAACTTGCTCGGAAGAAGCTTGCATTCAACGAGCAAGGAATTATGTTTGAAGAAGCACACAAGATGGCAGCAAACAATGAAGAGGACAATCCACTCATAGACACCATTCTGACTCTATTATTCAACAGACCCAATGCGAGCATTGTTCAGCCAAATGTTGCCAACAACTGGGAGCTCAAGTCCTCTCATATCAATTTGGTGGAGAGAGCCCAGTTTGGAGGAGAGGAGAGTGAGGATCCTCATCGATTCGTTGACAGATTCTTGAGGATCTGCGACTCAACCAAACACCCTCAGGTGTCGAATGATGCAATCCGGTTGAGGCTGTTCCCTTTTGCTCTTAAGGGAAAGGCTCTTAGTTGGTTGGAGAGGCAGCCTGCAGCAAGTATTTCTACATGGGATGATGTGTCTCAGAAGTTCTTTGCTGAGTTATTCTCGATGGAGAGGTACAACCAGATGGTGAATGATATCACCAATTTCACCCAGCTACAAGGTGAAACTATGTGTGGAGCATGGAACAGATTCAAGGATTTAATGAGGAGGTGTCTTCAATATAACCTGACTACTGGCAATCAGGTGAGAATCTTTTTCAATGGTTGCAAGCCTGAGGCTCGGATGGTGTTGAATGGTGCACCGGGTGGCACTATAAAAACTCTGAGAGCGAATAAGACTCTTGAGTTGATTGAGAGGATGGCTGCCAATGAAAATGAAGTGCTGTCATCCAAGCCTAAGAGAGGTATCCTTCAACTGGAAGGTAATGATGCAGTGTTGGCTGAAAACAGTTTGCTATCTCAGCAGGTGGCAAACCTGACCTCAAGACTTGATAAGATGCAGCTTGCTGGTGTTCAGACAAAAGCTGCTGCTGTTGTGTGTGAATATTTCCAGGACAATCATGAGTCTAATGAATGTCCTTTGATGCCTTCTGATTCACCTCAACAAGCACAGGTGAATGGCATCTGGTATAATCAAAGACCCCAACAACAAAATGTTCAAAGAGGTCAGAATTTTGCTTCTGGAGGTAATAATTATCAACGGAAAATCCAAGGCACGGGTCTTGATTACAATTCAAACAACTACTTACGGCCTCCACCAGTCCAAGCTAAGGAGCCTTCTGATTTGGAGAGGTTAGTTGGACAAATGGCTCAACACTCTAATACTTTCATGGAGGAGACTAGAGCCAATACCAAGAACACAAATGCTTTCATAGAGGAGACTAGGGCCAAAACTAAAAACATGAGTGCTTCTATAAGGAATTTGGAGAATCAAATTGGCCAGCTGGCTAAGAAAGTTGCTGATAGAACTCCAGGAACTTTCCCTATTAACACAGTTACAAATCCCAAGGAGGATTGTATGTTTGTCACAACTAGAAGTGGCAAAGTAGTGGCAGCTCCAGAAAATCTGAGCATAAATATGGAAGCTAATGAGAAGCTGAAGGAGGTTAAGGAGCCAGAAAAAGAAATTGAAAAATCTGCTGAAGTGGAGAAGCCAGTTGAAAAGAAGAAGTTTGAGCTGAGTCCTGAATATGTGAGAGCCATGGCACCCTATCCTGAAATATTCAAGAAGGATGCTCAGAAGCAACATTATGACAGATTTCTTGATATATTCAAGAAATTGCATGTCAACATTCCCTTTGCTGAAGCTCTGGCTTGCACGCGCACTTATGTTAAGTTCATGAAGGACTTGTTATCAAGAAAGCATAAGCTGCAAGAGTGTCAAACAGTAACACTCACTGAGGAGTGTAGTGCCATAATACATAAGAAGTTTCCACCCAAGCTTAGTGATCCAGGGAGCTTCAATATTCAAATTGAAATTGGCAACACCAAAATTGGCAGGGCATTATGTGATCTTGGGGCTAGCATTAATTTGATGCCCCTTTCTATTTGTAAATCCTTGGGGATCACCGAGTTGAAGCCTACTTTGGCATCTCTTCAACTTGCTGATAAGTCTATAAGGAAGCCTAGTGGAATAGTGGAAGATGTTCTTGTGAAGGTGGATAAGTTCATCTTTCCTGCTGATTTTGTGGTGTTGGACATGGAAGGGGGAGCTGAGATGCCTCTTTTGTTGGGTAGACCTTTCTTATCTACATCTCGAGCATTGATTGATGTTGAAAACGGGAAGCTCGAGCTAAGAATGAAGGATTAAACCGTTACAATTCACGTCTTTGATTCTCTAAAACAGTCTTCTCACAAAGACGATTGTTTTAGTCTTGAAGTCGTAAAGGAAGAAAAATGTAGCGGTTGAGGTTCTTGAAAAAGCAGAGGATTACAAAGAAGATGATACCTCAAAAGTGGAACTGAAGGCGCTTCCTCAAACTCTGAAAGATGATGTCAAAGAGGTGAAGAGGTCTCAAAGGAGGCGTAATCCTACAAAGTAGAAGGCAATGAGAAATGAAGTGGTGAAACTCTTTGATACGAGTTGGAAGATGTGTGCGGATCACCGGGCGCTAAAGTTTGACAAGAGACACCCAGACTCTATCTCTCGAAAAAATCAATGCTTCAAAGAGTTCTTAACTTGGCTCCATGGTTTGGAACAAATCTGAGAATGGTGGTCTCATACACCAAAGCATCCAGTACCACCGGACCTTCCATTTGTTGAGTCATCCCACGCTGCTGAGGGGGATGACATGGATGATTGATATCTCCTTGCTGACGGAGATTTTGTATATTAGTTTATTTTTCTGTTTCGTAATTTTAGTTATTTTGTGTTGGTATATCTTTCTCTGATGCTTTAATGTGCGCATTATAGTTTATCCTATATGCCACTGTTTGTTCTATTGTGCAGGTTTTTCTTTCATCTTGTGGTTTAATTATTGCTGAGGACAACAATTCTCTAAATCTGGGAATGGTAGGCTTGCACCTTAGAGCTGCGATTCTTCTATCAGGGGAGATACTCTAACTCTTTTAATTTTCTTAGTTATTTTTATAGTTATTTTGTGTGCTATATAAAAAAATAAAAATTTGAAAATGTTTCTGAGCAAGTCTCAAGTTTAGATATGCTTTCCCTAGTTAACGTGACTGATTCATCTTAGAAAACATGTTTTGTATGAACTTCTGGCATGTTATTGTATGGGCATGAGTAGATTTCATGATTGCTCGTTTGTCTGAATTTTGTTCTTGAATGATTAATGATGCCTGATGTTTCTTTTGGAAGTCTAGCTTGACATCATAGCTGGTGAGGTTTTGTGCTTAAACACTTATTTTATTTTGAGATATCTCACTGTGATAGCATTCTAGAACTTGCTCTGTTTCTCTAAGATGCATGCATTGGTTGATATGATAAAGGCATTTTGTTCTTGTTAGCTATTGGCCAAAATAATCCACTTGTATGAAAATTTTTCCATTGCTAAACCCCTTTGAACCTGAGCCTTGTTGTTCAGAATTCCTGATTGATGGCTTAGCCTATATCCATGTGACTTACCTTAATTGAGATTGAATTACTGATGTGTTGAAAAATAAAACAAAGAAATTAAGGTAAGCTCCACAAAGGTCAAGTAATTAGGGGAGGTAAAATTTCATATGTTCCCTTAAAACAAAGGTAGAAAAAGAAAAAAAAAGCAATAAAAAGAAAAAGGGTGAATGTGCATAAAAGGTGGTTGAAAGGAATTAATTCCCGAAATTCTGTGGGAATGTTAGTGGAGCAAAACCATTGAGTTGAATGTGTTAAAGTGAAATAATATCAGTTTTCAATCTCATTGTTGTTTGAGCTACTATCCATATATTCCTTCCCTTTAACCCGGCCAAGTTACAACCTGAGAAGTCCTTTTGATCAATCGTGCATGTGTTAATGTTCATCATCTTTAGGAACTTGAGAATATGATCAAGCGTATGGTAGTGTTATTGCTGTGATGGATTGAGTGACTGTTACTCCCCCAAATACCTGAGTGCTGAGCGTTATATGTTTATCTTGGTGAGGGGTGTTCAAGCTAGATTCAGATATTTTCATGAGAATAGAAGGCATTGTTAGGAGTTCTTTGCATTGATTCAGCATTGCTTAGCATAGTGATCTATTGATTGTCTGTGTGATGTTATGCTGGAATAATTGATTGTTTCTTGGATTGAGTCTTGTACATTGCTGGGGACAGCAACGTTTAAATCTGGGAATGATTTGATGTGCCTCTGGCAAGTGTGGTTTTTCTATGTTAAAATTGATAAGAATTGAGTCATAAGAGAGGAACTTAAATACATATTTGCTAATTATATTGATTCTTTCTTTTCAATAATATTTCTCACCTATTGTTGTGTTTTTACAGGAAAAAGAAGTGAAAATTATAAAAAGCCTATTAACACAATTCCACACGAGTTCAGAGGAGTACAAGTGTAACAGCTCGTTGTACACCGGTATTGTTAACATTAATTATGATATTAAGCGCAGTTACAATCACAGTAGTTATTTGAATTTACGGGAAAACTTTTTCCTTTTTAATATCGATTATACCTTTAAAATGACTGTGATCATAACTCAAAACTTCTTGTGGAATTATTAATACTATAGCCTAATACCATACAACTTTCGTTTAAAGGGTGCTAATTGGTTCCCATAAACCAACAAAGTTAAGACTCGTATGTTCCACTTTTAACACTACATGCCTTAACCATTTTATTTACTCCAACAATTTCTTGCCTCTCAAATGCTTCTCATCTCTTACTATGTTATAGATTTCTTCTTTAGCTACGCGTGGGTTCAAACCGCGCTCAATTCGGAGTACCGTAGCCCAAGTTATGACATTTCAAAGAAAATGGGTGCTGAAACTGCAGGACCTCCGCGCTGACAGCGCCACTTCCGAGCTGACAGCGCCAGAAGACAGTGGCAACGGCGCCCACAGCGCCAGATTGGAGCCAACAACGTCAAGGTACTGGAGCTGTATGCCTGAAACATGAAATCTGACCTTCCTATGGTGTTCTGCCCATAACTTGAGTTATACAACTCCAATTTACACAATCTTGGTCTCATTGGAAATCTAAGAGAAAGATCTCTAACTTCCAAGAAGGTCAAGGGGTCCAATTCCATAATATGGGAGACGAAAATTGGGCAGCACCCTGTTTGTATTTCCAACAGTTCCTGAAAATTTGCCAGAGTTCCCTTTGTTTTTACAAAAATCCCCAATTTTGCCAACAATCCTAATACCTCAAGGTGCATAAAATCACATGGGTGGCACACACAAGGACTAAAAATTCCTTGGAGCACTTACAACCCATCACAGTCCATTTACATGTATGATATTCACTATGTTTCAATCACCAAAGTTCCATTGCATGCTTTTGTTAACTATAATTATAATCAATTCCAAAAACTAGGCCTAAAGCCTCTCACATTACATTTACATGCTTTCAATACATCATAGGTGGCTATGGACAAAATCTCATGCTCACACAGAATATACATATATATCAAAGCATAGTTATACATCCATTATCGAAAGACTTACACATAGTTATGAATATACAAAAGCATGACATTATTAACATGCACAAGTTCATGACCTAAATCCAAAACACTAAAATCTATGCTAGTGTATTTGATACAATCCCTTAACATGTTATGCCCTCCATGTGCACCTCATGCTCCACTCCTCCAGGCTCAACCTAACCTGAAATGATAGCCTCAAACGCGGGGTGAGATATACAAATATATCTCAGTAAACTAAGGGTACTAGAGGATCACTCCACCCCATGGCTCACTTAATGTGCAACAAATAACATAGTATGAAATGCATGGCATACAATATCACCAACAACTGGGGACAAATCCAAGAACATTCACATAAGGATTCCGTTCAAGGACCCCATCATATAACTCCCGGAATCTTCCTGGTGCCTCTCCCATGGTTGAGACGACCCCATGGCAAAACTCAACTGGAACTCCTCATGAGCCCTATCCAGCGGAAGTCCCATGTTTGGATCATCCTGGTACCGCTCCCAGAGTCGGCCCCACGGCAACAACCCGACTGGAATCCCCAAAGGATATCTCCAGCGGAAGTCCAAACCAACACACATCTACTGGCCAGAGATCAAACAAGTTACACACAACATGCTCCAAGCATGTCACACAATCAAGCAATAATGCATGAACATACATATTCACACAATGTTCAGAGACACAAAATCCAACCACAACCTTCCACTAGGTGTGGTGGAGCACACAAGGGACTAAACCCAAGTTCCAAAGGTTTACCTCAACTCCGAAAGTCTTGTTCCAACCCGTACGCTCCAAGTCAATCTTCCACAATCACGTCCGTGTGAGGTACCCTACATTGATCAACACCATGATCAATCAACAATTCACAACAATACATCAATTCATACATCATAGTTACTCAACGCAACTAAGCCTAATAACCAATCTCCTTAGATTCATATCTCCACCATCCTCATCTCAATTACCAATTCAACAATCATACACCTCAAACAATCATATTACCACCTTCTACAACAACTAACCATTCTAGTTTCACACAACTCATTTTCCACTTTCATGACACTCAATTTTTCTAAGTTAAACTTCAACATTTTCACCTAGAATTTTCATAGCATTCCTAGCTCAAACAAGTCATTCTAAGACACTATCAGTAATGCAATTTTTCCATTTGAGCTTCCTATCCTCACAAATCCATAACTATAAGAATAGGGTTCATATATTTTGATCTATGAAATCAACCGTAAAAACTATGTAAATATACTCACAATCAACGCTAGACTCTCCTCCAAGGATTTTCCAAGCAACAAGAGGTCCATTGCCTCCATAAACACCATTTTTCTCCAATTTTTCGGATCTTCCCTAGGCCAAATGCTCCACAAAGAGGCGATTTCAAGGCTTGGGAGTATCACCAATGGCTTTAGAATGAGTTTTCCAATGAATTTCAACACAAATTTCAATGGATTTGGTGGAGGAAGTGAGGAGTTATGAAGGAAGGAATGAAGGTTCTTCAATGGTGGAGAGGGAGGGGCTGCAACGTGAAGACAAGGAAAAGAGAGAGAGAGAGAGAGAGAGCCCGTGTGTTTGTGAGGGAAGAAAAGGAACTTAAGTGGATTTGGGTTGCGCGGGTCCCATACGCGATTTAACTTTAATCCAATCATCAATTCCAACTATAAATTCATAATCTACTTATTTTTCTGGTTCATGACATATTTTTGTTTCCTAAAAATACTGATAAAAATTTCACGCTTATCGGTACAATTATACCGTAGTATTTTTTACACCAGAAAAATTACTATTCATCAAAATTTCCGAAACTTGCCTATCCACTCGATTTTTCGTCCTGAATCCATTTTCGGCATTATTTTTATCATTTGAGATCTCCTACTCAATTTTTCATGTCTCGGGTTACGTGTTTGGTAAATTACCATTTTTCCCTTGGTACATATTTTGACCCCAATT